TAGGCCACTATTCCCTATATATGTATATATATATATGTGTGTGTGTTATGTGTATATATATATCTTGTTCAAATTTCCAATCGTTAATAAAATATTTCTATTCATTCATACAAGTTCAAATACATTTTTTTAAAAATGTTAGCGGTTGACGCTTGATGTTAATACGGGTTTTTTTTTTTCAAATATTAATTCATTAATTAAATTAAAAAATAAATAAATAATAGCAAACATAAATAATTGTCCAAAAGCATCTATAGAAAGGAAAATCGTTTGGTGTATCCCTGTAGCGCAATGGACAGCGCGTTGAACTTTTAACCCAAAGATCGTGGCTTCGAATATCACCTGGGATGGCCTTATTTCTGAGAAGGAAATTTCTATTTAACTATACTATTTTATCGGAGTAATTAAATTTAATTAATGAATAAATAGTAACAAACAAAAATAATCCAACACTATATATAGAAACGAAAATGAAAAATTGCCACGAAAATCGCTTTCTATTTTGTCATTTAATATTGTGATTCTGCCATATTTATATTAATTGTAACTCTTTAATAAAAAGTAATTAAAATAAATTTTTTCTTTGCTGACCGAAGTAGAAATTGACTTTTAATTTTTTTTTTTAATATTACTTGTGTCTTTTCCTATTGTGTGTTCTTTCCTTGGGTATTATGCCTAAAAAATGGAAAATTTAACTTCAGAACAAGCTCACTTAAAACATCCATGTAATGCCTGGGAAAGGTATTTTGCATTTCCTATATTCTATATTTTCTTGACATTTTCGTCTAGTTGTACCCTACCTCCCCTCGAAACTTTTAACGCTTTAGTTGGGCAACCCTGTAAATATTAAAATAAAGCAGAAAATTTTGAGAACTGCTCTGTTGAAAAAAGATAACGATTAAGTATTTTAACTATTTTCTTAAATGTATATACATTTGCTAAATGCTAAAGAATTTTATTCTTAGGTGAAGTAAATCCACCTGATCTTTAAAGTATCATATGAAATTTAGAAAGGATTGCGCATTCCTTTCTATAATCGGCTTAAAGGTAAAAAGATCAATTGTATTTAGGTTTTCAAAAAGCTCAATATTTGAGCAAAGTAAAATGTTTGCTGATTCAACTCAATTTTGTAAAACCCTAAAAATGTTTTTTTTTCATAGATTATTCAGGGGTATTTTGTTAACAAAATTCCGTTCAATTTTTTTTCAGGATTGTACAATATTTGTTTATAATGAGATCAATTGTTTCTTTTTTCCACCAGAGCACAATAATTCATAAACAATATGAATGTTATGCATTTAAAAAATTATCTAATACTTGAAGTAAAATTTTTGATTCACATTCCTAAAAATAAGACAAGAAAAGAGAGAGAGAGAGAGATAAAAACAAAATTTAAATATACATATATATATATAAATATGGCTACAACATATCGTATGCGAGGAAACTATATTTTACTGTTAATTTAATGCTTTCAGCATTATTGGAAAAAAGGAAATACTTTGTTTCCCTTCATTAGATTCCATCATTCCTTTTTTTGATCATTTAAATAAAACAACGTTTGAAAAAAATACTAATAGTATAAAGTATGATACGTAGGGATTTAAAAATACCCGGGAAACAACAGCTGTGACGATTGGGTAAATTACTAGTATGAACAAAAATCCCTGAAAATATCGAAGACGATTACATCATTCAAACGATGTCGGTGGATGGCGCTGTTTCCCTAGTAACATGATTAAGACTCAGAAGATGGATGCGTTGACGGAAACATTATTTGAGATTGAAACATGGAGTGTGATACGGTTTTGGCATTTAAAGAAAAATCCTAGCTAAAATTCATCGGAAATTGGTAGAAGTGTACGGTACAAGTGCTATGCCGCAAAGACAGGTGTAGTTTAGGTGCACGGCAAAGGCAGGGGAGATGTTGCTTAAAGAAGAAAGAGCGTTTTTGGTGGGGGATGTTGGACCACCATCCTCACATTCCCGACCTTAAACTAAGTGATTTCCATTTCTTCGTACCTTTAAACTGATACTGAGATTCATCAAGTCAACTTGACGTGTGGATACATGACCTTGAAGCTGATTTCTACGATGCTGGATTCTACTGGTATGGTTTGATGTACGAATAGAACAAATAATGCCTCAATAAGTATGGTGACTACATGTAGAGAAGTAATATACGCATGTGCCTTCATACATCGTACATATTTCTTATTTACTGAATAAACGTTTACTCTCTGAATGGGCTTGGCGTCTTACTTTTTGAAACCCCTACATATAAATGATAATTTGCTTGGCATAAAGTTGTAAATTGCATAAATAAATTTTTTATGGTGGAAATGATAACTCTAATCTCTTTATCTGCTTGGGCTTCGATAGGACTTACGATTGTATGCAAATATTCCAATGAATTCTGAACGGAAAATGCCTATAATTTATAATGATCAAAAAAAGGGAGTCAGTACACCTTTGAGATCTTTGCTGACG